GACACATTCAAGGTATGTGATCTTAAAGAGTTGCCTGGGTCACTGAATGTTTAAGTGACAAGGCACTTGGTACTCCAGGAAACTGTCTGAGGCAGGAGTTACAGAAAAATAGATGACTCACTTTGACAGAGGCAGTCTCCATACCAGGAGCTCCCTATTCTGATAACATCATAAATTTGACCTCTCAAAAGCTACAGTTACAGCAAAGGGATACTGTGTCCAAAGTCTACAAATTAGTTTAAGTGAAATTCAGTCAATCAATTAGTAAGCATTTATTAAGCACCTCCTATGTGCCAGACACTATGTTAGGCACTGGGAATTGTAGTTCAGTCATATCAGTTGTGTCCTACTCTCCATGACCCCTTTTGGGGTTTTCTTGGCAGAGACACTGAAGCGGTTTGCCATTTTCTTCTCCAGCTCATTTTACGGATGAGGAAACTGAGACAAACAAGGTTAAATGACTTGCCCAGGGTCACACAACTTGTAAGTGTCTGAGGCCAGATTTGAACTCAGGAAAATGAGTCTTCCTAACTCCAGACCTAGCCCTGAACAAAGTACAAACTACTTTTGGGTAAAAAGACAAAAGGCCAAAAAAGTCCCAACCCTCAGGGGGCTGACATTTGAGATTGATGGCTATGATGTATACACGTAGAAATAAACACAGATACAGATATAAAAAAGATCATTTCAAGGGAGAAGGGAAGGACCTCATGTAGGAGTAGGCATCTGAGTTAAGACTTGAAGGAAGCTAGGGCTTCTGAACCAGGGAAGTGAGGAAGAGAGTGTATGCTAGGTATGGTGGACAGCTACGTGAAATGGTGTGTTGTATGTGAGAAACAGTCATATGGCTTGTTTGTCTGGACTGTAAACTGTGAAAAGGGCTAATGGCGGCAGGTGATAGCACTTCTCTCCCTGCCTTGCCTTTGATGACAACTGGCCCTATCTAGCCAGCCTCACCCTCTAGCTCTGTTCCTGTCACCTGACCCATATTTCATTGCCCTTTCACTCACTTCACTGATCATATCTTCAACTTCCTATCCTTCCCTGGCTGCCACTTCCCTTTATGGGCTCTCTTCCCCCTTTAGAATGTAAGTTCCTTGAGGGTAGGCACTGACTGTCTCACTTTTTGTATTTTTATTTTATGTTTGATCCATAGTAAGTGCTTAATGCTTTCTCATTCAATCAGCTAGAAAGAAAGATTACAGCCAGACTATAGAGGATATTAAATGTCTAACAGAAGAGTTTATATCTTGTCTCAGAGTTCATAGGAAGCCACTGTAGTTTATAGAGGAGGGAAAGTAACTGGGTCAGCTTTGTGCTTTAGGAAGCTTGGCACCTACTATGGCTGGGTGTGGTGGTGCAACTCGCACTCAGGCTGGTGGATCCCTTGAGTGCAGGAGTTCTGAGCAGCAGTGGGCTAATCCATTTGGGTGTCCACACTATATGGGGTATTAAGATGGTAGGCCCATGAGCACCAGGTTGTCTAAGAAGGGACAACCAAAACCAGCTTCCTTTTATGGAAAGAGGAGCAGGTCAAAGCTTCCATGACAACCTGAGTAGTCCCTGTATTTCCAACCAGGGTAACATAGGGAGATCTAGTCTTTAAAAGAAATGATAAATGTATATCACTTCAACAGCTGTATGGAAGATAGATCAGGCAGGTAAATTTAATGGACTTTGATGACTGTCTATGGTGCTTAATGAGCGCCGACTCTATGTAGAACCTATGCTCTATGCTAGACTTGAAAAAACAAAATAAAACACCGACTTTGCTGGTAAATATGGCACTCACTCTACTCACCCCTCATTTCTTTTTTGCCTTTCTTTGTATCACTAACACAGTAGCACAGCACATGCTTAATACATATTTGTTGACTGACTGATTTCTCTAGCACTAAGCCCTGCCTTCCCAATAATCCCAGGAAAGGGCTGTGTGTCATTGTTCCCATTTCAAAGTCAGAAGAGACTTGGGCTCAGACTTGGGCTCTGACACTTACAAGCTGTGATCCCTATCACCAGGCCTCAGTACCCTGGCCCTAGTTCCTGACGAAGTCAATCTACTTAGCTCTGGAGCTGCCGTGATTGGGGAGACTGAATTAATGCAAACTTATTCCATGCTCTGACCCCTCCTCCCCATCTCACTGGCCCTAGACCATGCTTCATGTTCCCATTGAACCATCTAGGAATGATTATTCCCCCCCCCCCCAACAGGTCATCTTGCCATGCCAGTCTTTCATTTATCATCTGTGTGCCTTCCTCATAAAAGTAATCAGCTAATAAACATTTATTAAGTGCCTACTACGTGTCAGGCACTGTGCTAAGTGCTAGTGATACAAAAAAAGGCAAAAGATAGTCTCTGCCCTGAAGGAGTTCACAGTTTAATGTGAGTTACATGTAATCTCAAGCACTTACGGGTAGGGAGAACAAAGATCATTCCCATTTTACAGATGAGAAAACTGAAAAGGAAGGAGGCAACTTAGTCAACAAATCATTAAGCATTTATTAAATGCTAACTATGAACCAGGCACTGTATGCTAAGTGCTAATGCAAAGACAGTCCGTACCCTTCATTACAGACAGTCCCTGCTTTACATTCTAATAGAAGAAGACAACACATAGTAGGGAGTTGAAAAACAGGAATAGCGATGGGGAGGGAGGGCATTCACATGGAGGCATGGAGGAAAAAGAGGTCTGGGGAGTCAGGAGTGTGGCCCAGAGAGGAATGAAAGAATGACCACTGTAGGCCTTATAATAGAGGTTCCAGGAGGAAACAACCAATCAGGGAAAGGGGCTACAGGGGTAGAGGGATCTTCCAGGGCGAGAAGAGTGTTGGACTGGGGGGGCATAGCATAACAGAAACCCTAGCTAAACCGTTGACTCTCTCCTAGCCTCAGTTTCCTCATCTGTAACATGGCAGGCTCAGACTAGATGACCTTTAAGGGCATCTTTGGGCTTTAAATCCTACCTAGGCAGTATGATGTTACAAAGTGGGCACTAGACCTGGAGTCTGGAAGATATGGGTTCAAATCCAACCACCTACTCTTACCAGGTGTCAAATCCCTTCACTTCTCTATAATGTCTTCATCCATTTAGCTGGGTTAATACCCACTGATAGCAGTGTTGTGAGGCCAAAATGAAACAATAAATGTAAAGCACTTTGTAATATAAACGTCAAATTGATGGGTAAATATCCTTCCATCTATCCAAATCTAGCCCTTCTTCTATGCCTGAGCCCCCAGGGCAGATCATACAGGGAATAAAAGGAGATCTCTTCTGAACAGGGAGGCTTAGGGGGCCAGATCTGGAGGTCTCACCTTTTAGGTCTAGACTTCTCCCATGGTGTCTTTGCTACTGGCTTCTGTAGAGGCAACAGGGACATTCTTCTGGAATCTGGACCCAGCCACCTCCATCATAGGATAGGACAGGAAGAGGGGAAGCTGTCTCTGCTACCTCTAACTGCCTGTTATGATCCAAGACCTCTGCTTCTATCTTTAAAGCCAGGTATATCAACCTGCGTTACCTCCTTGGGGGAGACCGAGAGAATCTCAGACTACCAGAGTTAGGAACAACTTTAGGAATCAGAGTTATTCATCCTTCTCCATACACCTCCCAATACACTTTTCAAATGGGGAAACTGAGGCCAAAAGAGGAGAAAGGATTTGCCCAGGGTCACATAGTAGGACCAAGAATTGAACCTAGATATTAGGACTTCAAACCCAAGTTCACAATGCTGGGTTTCTTCTAGTTTCTCTCATTGGCAGGTTCCTTTCCTCCCCATAGCCTGCTTTGTCCACTTGGGTGGAAGAATTAGGAGTACCAGGGGGTGAAGGTGCAGAGGTAGGGAAGAGATACCTCAGGTTGTATGGCAGTATGGAGGGCAGGCTCCTTCCTGTGTCCAGAAGTTCTAGATCATTCTAATCTGTTCCATTCTATTCTAATCTGTTCTAGTTCATTCTAATCTGTTCTTTTTTAGTCTGTTTTGTTTTATTCTACCCTTCTCTTTAATCTATTCTCTTCTAGTCAACAAGCATTTATTAAACACCTGCCAAGTACAATACTGTGTGCTAGAGATGCAAAGGCAGAAATAAAGAACAAATTCCTGCCCTCAGGAATTACCTTTCCTTGGGGGGCACACATAAACAAAAGCCACAAAGCAGTTAGGGGCAGGGGAGAGGGAGAAAAGAAGGGAGAGGGAAGAAGGGAAGAGGGAGGGAGAGAGAATTAACAGATGGAAAAAGCCTCATGGGGGAAAGAGGTGGCATCTGAACTAAACCCAGGCCCCAACCAAACCAGGGACTTGGATGGTGCAGAGTGCTCAGCACCCTGTTGGGTTCCAGTTCCGAAGCCTTTAAGAGGTAGTAGTTTTGTTCTAGTGTTGGTGCTAATTAATGGGAGTGCAGGGTGGTAGCAAGGATTTGAACCCAGGTCCTAAGAGATCTTTGATTTGCACCAGGTCCTAAGAAAGGCCCAGTAGCTGGCAGGCCCTCCCCTTCAACATGTCAGAAGATACCAGTGTATATGTAGCACCCAGGGAATTCTTGCTCCTCCCTCCCCCATCTCCAACCCCAGCAGGCTGATTCTGGCTGTCAAGGCCCATCCCCAGGGCCCCAGAGCCTGGGAAAGAAGTTGGAAGCCATTGGAAGGTCCCAGAATGGTGTTTTTCCTGAATCTCTTATTAGGGAAGGTCTCCAGCAAAACCAAGCTTGGCCTCTCAGCCATTCAAACAGGGCCCAGGCCCTCTTCCTTCCCTCTGATATCTGGCACTACCGTTGTGCAGGGACTAATCCTAGGAAAAGAAAGGAAAGGGGACTGGCTGGGAAGGGGGTGGTGGCAGGGGGGAGATGGGAGCCAAGCTAGAGAGAGGCAGGGAGATGAAGGCAGGATGTGTAAGAAGTCTGGCAGGCTACCCAGACAGCTCTGTGTTCTGGGGGAGGGGGAGAGGAGAGGGGGTTGTGATCAGTGATGTCACAATGAGGGGCCAGAAGGATTCTAGATTCATTCACCTCCCCCAACAGACAGGGCCCCCAAGAGGTAGGGGGAGAGACTGAGAATTACGGGGGCCGGAGCAGGAGGCCAGTGGGTGCAAAGGAGGGCATCAGGAAGATGAGATGCTCCCTCCCCTAAGTCCCCAGAGGTTAGTGACTGTTGTGTGAGGCTGCTCACTCTCTCTTGCCTCCAGGCTTTGCTCCATCTCCCTGGGAGGCCCCCCTCTCCTAAGGCCCCCTGTCCCTGTTATGGCCCCCCAGACACTGTGGCCCAATTGAAATCTAGCTGACTAAGGCTCCTGCCAATGAATGGGGGATGTAAGCATCTCTCCAGAACTCTAGCCATCCACTGACAAGAACCTGGGCCCCCACTCAAGCCCCACCACTCCACACAGGAGCACTAAGTGTGAGGCAGTAAGAGGAGAGTAGGACCCCATTCATCCCCCTGGCCAGGCCCTGCTGGGGTGGAACCCCTCCACAACACAGCCAGCCATGGGGGCAGTGGGGACACGGGCTATGGCCCTCCACTTCCCAAGGCCTGTGGCATTTCTTCTTCTACTACTGGAGCTGCCAGCCGGCAAGGCCCTGGTCCGGGCAATGGCCAATGACAGTGCCAGCCCTGTGGACTTCAGTGATGCACCTGCCCTGTTCGGGGCTCCCCTGTCTGAAGATGGTGTTCGAGGGTACCTGATTGAGGCCCAGCCACCCAATGCTTGCCAGCCCATTGAGGGTCCGATGATATCCAACCACTCCCTTGGCTCCATTGCTCTGATTCGCCGCTTTGATTGCACCTTTGACCTCAAGGTCCTCCACGCCCAGCAGGCTGGCTACCAGGCAGTCATTGTGCACAATGTCCACTCCAATGACCTGGTCAGCATGGTACACGTATATGATGACATCCGGCAGCAGATTGAGATTCCATCGGTCTTTGTCAGCGAGGCCACGTCAAAGGACCTCCGGATCATCCTGTGTGGCAACAAAGATGCCCATGTCCTCCTCTTGCCCAACCATCATCACTACCCTGAGCTCGACTGCCACCCCGTCCTGTCTATCTCTTGGGTGCTGGGCTGCATGATGACCCTGCTGATGTCCACGCTGCTCATTATCAGGAGGGTCTGGCTGTACTGGTGCCGGTGGCGGGAATGGGGCACTGTGGCCAAGACCCCCAGCCGGAAGAAGACGCATATGCGTGCTTTCACCCGCCAAAACGACGTCTGTGCCATCTGCTTGGATGAGTATGAGGAAGGGGATCAGCTGAAGATCCTCTCTTGTACTCACATCTATCACAGCAAATGCATCGACCCATGGTTCTCCCAGACCCTTTGTAGGACCTGCCCTGTCTGCAAGCAGCCTGTGGTCAGTACTGAGGAAGGCTCTGACTCCAACCCAGAGAGCCTCAGTGAGGATGAGTCGGCCAGGTCAGGGCACGACCACCAGGCAACAGAAGTGCTGCCCCTGGTCCGTCAAGTGCCCTCCCGCACAGATAGCTCCAGTCACAGGACAGAAGACTCAGAGACTGAGGAGGAGTCCTCCCTACCCTGAGAAGTGCTCCTCTCAGGCCTCCTTGCCCCAGACTTGGCTCTTCCCTTCCTCCTTCCCCACACCCCTATTTCTTCTTTTTCCAGCCAGCCAGCTGCTCCCTAGAACCTGGCTGAATATCACCATGTACTTTTGTCTGGCACAGTTCGGCTTGCCTTGGTAGAGAAGCCCAAATGCTGCAGTACCTGTTTGGAAATGTAAAACTTTATAGGCTGGAGACAATAAAATGCATTTGGAATCATGCAGGTTCTCTGGATGTCTAGTTGAAACCCTGCCTGGGCAGATTTTCTTTGACCTTATCTTCCCCCATGGTTTTTGTTGAACCTCTAGCTGCCCAAGCAGGAGAGGCTGATACCCTCACAGCATTATAGAATCTAAAAATGGAAGTGGCTTCCCAACCCAACTCAACCCTTTCATTTTACAAATGGAGAAACTGAGGCCTAGAGCCAGGGAGTAACTCAGCTCTGCTCACCCACTGCACCACACACTGTACAATGAATTCCCTCCAGAGGTATCAGATATCTCTCCTAGAGATACCACTAGACATAAGAGTGATGGCTGGAAAGTGCAAAGGGGTGTGTGTGGGGTGGGGGGGTCAGAAGAAGCTTCCTCCAAATAAGATGGGTTCCTTTTGGGGGGAGGTCTGGAGAACCACTTGTCAGGTATGCTAAAATAGGGTTTGTTTTCATTGTATATGTTAGACTATCTGGCCAATGAAATCCCTTCCAACCCCTAAATTCTATGACTCTGGTATCCAGGGGGCTGGCCTTTTCAGGTATTCAAGGGGGGCACCAAGCAGGACCTTCCTTATTCATAGTGGGCTCAGTGTATGAGTCGAGGAGGGAGGTGAGGGAGTAGTTCCCAGCTGTTTTTCCCAGGGGTTTATGGGTCATGGAATGCAGATCTGGAAGGGAAGGGACAGATCAGACCCAGCATTCGAACCCCTTTTTCTGACACCAAATGCAGCATTCTGTGATGTCATATTCCAAGGGTCTTTCCTCTTCTGTTGAATGAGGCTTAGGTGTGCTCCATAATCTAAGGTCCCTCTACATTCTCCATGCTGCTCCTCATTCCAAGTCAATAGAGGAGTTAAGTAGCTAGCGAACAGGAGACTGATAAGCTTACAAGTCTTAGAAACTGAGGCATCTAGCACACTGACCACCCTGTTTATTACAGCTACCCAGCCACATATGTCTTATGTCCAGAAGCCAAAGAATACTCTGAAGGTGAGGGACATGAGCTGCTGCTTGTGCCCACATCACAACCCAGTCCAGGGGAGAGCCCTGACCTGACTTTAATAAGTTTGCTGAATATCAATGAATTACTACACTTGCATTCTGTCACAGAATGTAGAATGTCAGAGCTAGGGAGGAGCTTGGAACAGAGACTAGTAGAGCTGGGAGGGGGATAACCTTAAAATATGAAATATCAGAGCTAGGGTGATCTTAGAACATGGAATGTCAGATCTGGGAAGGTGCTTGGAACAGAGACCATCAGAGCTGGGAAGGGGAGAACCTTAGAACATAGAATATCAGAACTGGAGCGACGTTAGAACACAGAATGTCAGAATTGGGGGGACCTTAGAACCCAGAAGGTCAGAGCTGGGAAGGTGCTTAGAACCCAGGATGTCAGAGCTGGGGGGAACCTTAGAACACAGATGTCTGAGTTGAGGGGACCTTAGGATACACAATATCAGAGCTGGGGGGATCTTCGAACAGAATGTCAAAGCTGTAAGAGGTCATTGAACATATAATGTTAGAGCCAAGAACTTCTCTTAGAACATAGGATGTCAGAACTGGGCAGGAGGTAGGGGATCTTATTCTCAAGATTTCAAGGCTATAGGGATCTTAGAACATACAATGTCAGCTAACCTTAGACCATAGAATGTCTATATTGGGAGGGGTTTCAGAACATGGAGTGTCAGGGACAGAAGGGATCTTAGAACAAAAGAACAAAGAACCCCAGTAGAATATAGAATGCTAAATGTCAGTCTGAAAAATAGCATATACAATGTCAGGGCATTGAGGGGCCTTAGGAACCTTATAGTCTAACATATAGATTGTGACTAGTGACTGGGAGGTCCTTTCTAGCTCTGAGATTCTGGGGCCAGAGAGGAGGACAAGGTCACATAGCTTCTTAGTGGCAAAAAGGGAGACTGGCAGAGGCCCCTGCCTTGGCCCTGAGCCCAGTTCTCTTTGCTAGGCCACAATGCTGCCTCTAAGGTTCAGCTCCTGCCCTGCTCCACCCCTTCCTCCAAATATCAGAGCAAGAGAAAAGTAGCACTGATGGGGAGGGGGCTTCACCACTTGAATCACAACAGAGGCATTCTCAGTGCCATGCAAGGCCAACTCTGTTAGGGCACTGACATGCTCCCATGCCCAAGGAATAGATTTGCATTCTCTCAGGCTTTCTGGAGGCACAGTGGCCTTAGTCACAGGAACAGCTCTTACACAGGAACTTAGCACTAGGCTGGTGGATCTTGGGTTGAGAGTCAGGAGACCTGAGTTCTAGTCTTGGCTGTAATGCCAATGTGCATTAGCATTACTTGTGACCTCCAAATTCCTTCCCCAATCTGGACCTCAGTTTGCCCATCTATAAAATGAGGGAGATAGACTAGATGATCTCAAAGAGCCAGTCTTAGTCTGACATTCTGTTCCTCATCCTAGCTCTGACATTCAGTAACCAAAAGTTTCCCCCCAACTCTGACATCCTGTGTTCTAAGGGCCTTCCCAGCTCTGACATCCTGTATTCTAAGGCCCCTTCTAGCTCTGACACTATGTTCTAAGGTCTCTCCCAATTCTGACATGCTGGTTCTAAGGCAGCTCCCAGCTGACATTCTATGTTCTAAGGTCACCCTAGCTCTAACCTTCTGTGCTCTAAGGGCCTTCCTAGCTCTGACATCCTGTATTGTAAGGCCCCTCCTAGCTCTGACATTCTGTATTCTAAGGTCACCCTAGCTCTAACCTTCTGTGTTCTAAGGGCCTTCCCAGCTCTGACATCCTGTATTCTAAGGCCCCTCCTAGCTCTGACATTCTATGTTCTAAGGCCCCTCCCAGCTCTGACACTCTGTGTTCTAAGGGCCCTCCCAGCTCTGACACTCTGTGTTCTAAGGGCCCTCCCAGCTCTGAGTCCTGTATTCTAAGGCCCCTCCCAGCTCTGACACTCTGTGTTCTAAGGGCACTTCTAGCTCTGACATTCTATGTTCTAAGGCCCCTCCCAGCTCTGACACTCTGTGTTCTAAGGGCCCTCCTAGCTCTGACATTCTGTGTTCTAAGGCCCCTCCCAGCTCTGACATTCTGTGTTCTAAGGCCCCTCCCAGCTCTGACACTCTGTGTTCTAAGGACCCTCCCAGCTCTGACACTGTGTTCTAAGGTCTCTCCCAGTTCTGACACTGTGTTCTAAGGCCCCTCCCAGCTCTGACACTCTGTGTTCTAAGGGCCCTCCTAGCTCTGACATTCTGTGTTCTAAGGCCCCTCCCAGCTCTGACATTCTGTGTTCTAAGGCCCCTCCCAGCTCTGACACTCTGTGTTCTAAGGACCCTCCCAGCTCTGACACTGTGTTCTAAGGTCTCTCCCAGTTCTGACACTGTGTTCTAAGGGCCCTCCCAGCTCTGACAGTCTCAGCTTTGATACTGCATTCTAAGGTTCCATCCAGATCTGATGCTCTGCAGCTCTGTGCTAGGCCCCCAGATCCAGCTGCCTTACTTAGTGTGGCCACCCCAGCTGCCCCTACCACTGGGCGCCTGTGTTCTCTACCCTCTTCTGTTGAGCCCAGCAAATCTCAGGTCTCCCCAAGCACCAGCTGAATGTTTGTGGAGTCCATTAGCTCTGCAGCCCCTTTCCATTAAGTCTGTTTATCTGATAGCTAATTGTAATTCTGGGATTCTCCTTGGGACCTACCAGAAGGAACAAGCCAACAAGACTTTCAGGCTCTAATCCCACCTAATTCCAGCCTTGGACTCAAGGCAGCAGTGGAGGGCTGGGAGGGGGTGTTTAGAGGATGGGGGGGGCATGCAGTCCTCCCAGCCCCAGATAAGCCTTTTTTTTCCTCTGCTTACCTCCCTAGCAGCTCCTCTCTGCCAATCCAGAACTTCCCCAGCCTTCACAGCTTAGGGCCCCCAGCCCTCAGCAGGAAAAGGGCTCTCTCATCAGCCCAGCCCAACCCAGCAGGGGTGGGCTCTCTCCCCTCTTCAGAGCTGCTTCAGCCTTTTACGAATCACACTGATCAATGTGCTTTTCAGGACAACACAAGGAAGCCTGAGAGGTAGATTGTGCTATTGTCATTATTCCCATTTTACAGATGAGGAAAGTGAGACTCAGAATGACTAGACAGCTGAGTTTATAAGTGTCAGAGCTGAGATTCCTGCTTAGGTCTCCAGAGTCTGATTCAGGTGCTCTTACTATTGTAGCTCCCTGCCCTCTAGAGCCCTCCAGACTCTCCTCCCTCTCTGCCCTTCCTCCCCCCAATCTCTGCCCTCCGCCTACTAAATCTTGTCTCCCACTATCTAGGCCTCCTAATTTTTCAGACCAGTGCCCTTTCCACTAGAACTATTTCTGCATGCCCTCCCATTTCCTTGTGCCTCCCACCAAAATCTTAGGCAGCTGGGTGGCTCAGTGCATGGGGTTCTGGACTTGGAATCATGAAGCTCTGAGGTCAAATCTTGCTTTAGACACCCATTAGCTGTGCAACTCTGGGCAAGTCTCTGGGCTGCACTTTGCTCATATGTGAAATGGGGATGATAATAGTGTCTACCTCCCAAGGTTTTTATGAGGAACACACACACATGTGTATGTGTAATACACATACATGTAGACAGACATGCATACACACACATATATATGTGTGTATATATGTGTGTGTATGTGTGTGTGTATATGTGTATATATATATATATATCTTTTCAAACTTCAGTGTGCTACATAAACACTAGCTATTATTCAGTGCTCCAGTGGCCATCCCCTCACTTACTCTTTCAGCCTCTCTTTTACCACTGTTGCCTTTCCATCTGCCTCCACACATGCTCCCATCTCTATAATCTTAAAATAACCTTCTCTTGGTCCTTCCCACCCCTGCCCCCAGACACCTTCCCATTTCTTTGCTCCCCTCTCTGCTAAATGATGGGGGAAAAAAACTACCTTCTACCTAAGGCTTCTACTTCCTCATAATCCTCTCTCTCTTCAATATCTCCCCCCACCACCACTCTACTGAAGTTGTTCTCTCCAAAGTGATCAA